GTGATTAGGAAGCTTCGCGCTGAATTGGACGTAGTGAAATCAGAGGCCGAGGAATGGAATAAGAACATGGACCGCCTCGCCTCAGAAAAGGAGACTGCCCGAACTCAACTGGCTGAGGCTGAGGCCCAACTCTAAAGCTTGAAAGAGAAAGCCTTGGTGCAAGCCAAGAAAATTGAGGAGTTCTAGTCTCAGTTGAGCTCAGCAAATTCTGATCGAGAGAGATTGGCCACAAAACTCGCAGCGGCCAAATCGGAGGTCGAGAAAACCATGGCCAATGTTGATGCAATGATGGACATTTATCGATCTGATGCCAAAGATGCTTAAGTTCGAGCAAAAGAGGTTGCTGAGGCTGCTTAGGCTTGGGCAAACTGGGTTGTCGAGCATGCTAAATACTAGTCTCGAAGGGAGACTCTCGAAGAGATTTATGCTCGTGGCTTAGATCTAACAGCCGAGATCGAGAAAGTTAAGGAGCTTGAAGCTGAAGCCAGAGTGTTGGCCTTTCCTGATGATGACGATACTAGGAGTGCGAGCGGATCTGAAAGTGAAGGGGGCCTCGAGGGCGAAGACGCTGCTCCCGGAGAGGACTAAGTCTTTTAGTATTTTTGTGTTTCTTATAAGACCATTTTTGGTCTTTTGTAAAGAAATTTGATCAGGCTATGTTGCCCTTGTAAATGATTTTGACATGTATATAAAAACTTTCTTCCTTTCTGCCTTATAGAATTGTGAAGTTTGTATCCTAAGGCCCTGGTTCAGATAATTTGATCAAAACCGAACTAGTATAGCCCTTAGGCCTTATGGTCGAGTGAGTGCTTGCTCGGACTCGAAGTAAAAGACAGCCCTTAGGCTTTATGGTCGAGTGAGTGTGATTTCTCAAACTTGAAGCAAAGTAGCCCTTAGGCTTTGTGGTCGAGTGAGTGTTTACTCGAACTCGAAGTAAAAAATAGCCCTTAGGCTTTGTGGTCGAGTGAGTATTTGCTCGAACTCGAATTAAGGTAGACCTTAGGATTTGTAGTCGAGTGAGGGTTTGCTCGAACTCGAGTTAAGGTAGCCCTTAGGCTTTGTAGTCGAGTGAGGATGATTTCTCGAACTCGAAGCAACGTAGACCTTAGGCTTTATGGTCGAGTGAGAATGATTTCTCGAACTCGAAGCGAAGTAGCCCTTAGGCTTTGAGGTCAAGTGAGGGTTTGCTCGAACTCGAGGAAATGCAGCCCTTAGGCTTTAGGGTTGAGTGAGTGTTTGCTCGAACTTGAAGTAAAAAACAACCCTTAGGCTTTATGGTCGAGTGAGTGTTTGCTCGAACTCGAGGAAATGCAACCCTTAGGCTTTATGGTCGAGTGAGTGTTTGCTCGAACTCGAAGTAAAAAAATAGCCCTTAAGCTTTATGGTCGAGTGAGAATGATTTCTCGAACTCGAAGCAAAGTAGCCTTTAGGCTTTGTGGTCGAGTGAGTATTTTCTCGAATTCGAATTAAGGTAGCCCTTAGGCTTTATGGTCGAGTGAGTGTTTGCTCGAACTCGAATTAAGATAGCCCTTAGGCTTTGTGGTCGAGTGAGTATTTTCTCGAATTCGAATTAAGGTAGCCCTTAGGCTTTGTAGTCGAGTGAGGGTTTTCTCGAACTCGAGTTAAGTTAGCCCTTAGGCTTTGTAGTCGAGTGAGGATGATTTCTCGAACTCGAAGCAACGTAGCCTTTAGGCTTTATGGCCGAGTGAGTGTTTGCTCGAACTCGAAGTAAAAAACAGCCCTTAGGATTTATGGTCGAGTGAGATGATTTCTCGAACTCGAAGCAAAGTAGCCCTTAGGCTTTGTGGTCGAGTGAGGGTTTGCTCGAACTCGAGTTAAGGTAGCCCTTAGGCTTTGTGGTCGAGTGAGGGTTTGCTCGAACTCGAGTTAAGGTAGCCCTTAGGCTTTATAGAGCTTGATCTCGTTGATTTTTCGGATGGTAGTCCCCGGTCGGCCCTTAAGCCTGTTTACATAATAGATCGAGAATATGAAGTAGAATAATTTTTCTGAGATATGAGATATTGGTAAAGAAGAAATTTATCTTTATAAGTCATTATACATGTGTTCATGTTTTGTGCCAGGGCTCGAGCAAACTACGTGGGCGTGGTTCATTTGACCATTTGCCCATTACAAATTTTTCCTATCGAGACCCTGTTGCCATGAAGTAAATTCCTTGCATAGAACTTAAAATATTTAAGGGCAATGCCCCTCAGTATTCGAGGTTGATTGTAAAGAGGTCTCGAATACTGTTGAATTGTTCTAAGTTAGCACGATCAATGGTTTCCTCATTAAAAAACTCGTCGAAAAACCCATTTGGGACAAAATCGATCTAAGGAAAAAAGAGTGCAACCCGTGCTTTCAGACCTAAAGGCTTTGAGTTGAAGAATCCATCCCTGTTTCTGGTCGAACACCTGCAAGGGTTAAATTCGAAATACAAATGAACACGGGAGGGTCGTACTTTAGCAGTAGTATCGTTTTAGGTGCGATACGTTCCAATTGCTCGGTAGTTGTTTGCCGTTTATCACACCGAGCTTGTAGGATCCTTTTCCGACGATTTCGAGAACCTGATACGGTCCTTCCCAGTTCGGACCCAGTTTCCCTTCATTTGGATTTCGGGTGTTGAGGGTGACTTTCCTTAGCACCAAGTCCCCGATTTTAAAATGTCGAAGATTGGTTCTTCGATTATAGTACCTTTTGATCCGTTGTTTTTGGGTGGCCAATCGGACGAGAGCAGCTTCTCATCTTTTGTCCAACAATTCCAGGCTCGTATTCATGGTCTCGTTATTCGACTCATTTATTGCATATCGAAACCTAATGTTAGGTTCTCCAACATCAACCGGGATTAGAGCTTCAACGCCATAAACCAACGAGAATGGCATTGCTCCGGTACTGGATTTCAATGTTGTGCGGTATGCCCATAGGACCTCGGGTAGTATTTCTCTCCATTTTCCTTTGGCGTCGATTAATCTCTTCTTAAGATTTTAGATGATGGTTTTGTTGGACGATTCGGCTTGTCCGTTCCCGCTGGGATGATACAGTGTTGATAGGATCCTTTTGATCTTGTGATCCTCGAGAAATTTAGTTACTTTACTGCCGATGAATTGTTTTCCATTATCACATACAATCTCGGATGACATCCCGAATCGACATATGATGTGGTCCCAAATGAAGTCTATCACTTCTTTTTCTCTGACTTTCTCGAAAGCATGTGCTTCAACCCATTTAGAGAAATAATCAGCCATAAACAAAATAAATTGAGCTTTACCTGGGGCCGATGAGAGGGAGCCGATGATGTCCATTCCCCATTTCATGAAAGGCCATGGAGATAGGACCGAGTGGAGTAGCTCCCCGGGTTGATGAATCATGGGCACATGTATTTGGCATTTGTCACATTTTCGAACGAACTCCCTTGCATCCTTGCCCATATCGGTCCAATAATACCCTGCTCTGATTACTTNGTCGGTCAATCTCTTCTTAAGATTTTGGATGATGGTTTTGTTGGTCGATTCGGCTTGTCCGTTCCCGCTGGGATGATACAGTGTTGATAGGATCCTTTTGATCTTGTGATCCTCGAGAAATTTAGTTACTTTACTGCCGATGAATTGTTTTCCATTATCACATACAATCTCGGATGACATCCCGAATCGACATATGATGTGGTCCCAAATGAAGTCTATCACTTCTTTTTCTCTGACTTTCTCGAAAGCATGTGCTTCAACCCATTTAGAGAAATAATCAGCCATAAACAAAATAAATTGAGCTTTACCTGGGGCCGATGAGAGGGAGCCGATGATGTCCATTCCCCATTTCATGAAAGGCCATGGAGATAGGACCGAGTGGAGTAGCTCCCCGGGTTGATGAATCATGGGCACATGTATTTGGCATTTGTCACATTTTCGAACGAACTCCCTTGCATCCTTGCCCATATCGGTCCAATAATACCCTGCTCTGATTACTTTGTGGACCAGCGAATCGGCACCAGAATGGTTTCCACAAGTGCCTTCGTAAATTTTCCGTAAGATATAATTGGTATCTCCTGGTCCCAAACATATTCCTAATGGTCTAGCGAACGTCCTTCTAAACAGCATTCCGTCTTCGGACAGGGTGAACCGTGCTGCCTTTATGCGCAAAGCTCTCGATTCCTTTAGACATGATGGAAGCTTCCCGTTCTTGAAGTACTCTATATATTTGTTTGTTCAATCCTAGATTAGACTCGTGGAGTTTATCTCGGTGTGACCTTCTTCGATCACCGATCTTATGAGTTGTACGACAATCCCCGAGTTGAGTTCGTCATCTTCGACCGATGAACCTAAGTTTTCAAGGGCATCAGCCTCGCTGTTCTGTTCTCGGGGTACATGTTGCAAAGTCAATTCCTTAAATCGATGTAGAGTCGCATGTAGTTTATCCAAGTACCTCTGCATTCGATCTTCTTGGACTTCGAAAATCCCGTTAACTTGGTTTACCACGAGAAGGGAATCACACTTAGCCTCTACGACCTTTGCTCCCAGGCTTCTAGCTAGTTCAAGACCTGCAATCATGGCCTCATACTCAGCCTCATTTTTAGTCAATTTTGTAGTTCTAATACTATATTACCTGTGGGAGATTTTAGTACGATGCCTAGTCCGGACCCCTTTGCGTTCGAGGCTCCATCCGTAAAGACGGTCCAGACTCCCGGATAGGTACCCAATTTTATCAGTAGTTATCTTTCAATCTCGGGTACGAAGGCCAGCGTAAAGTCAGCCACGAAGTTCGCCAAGATTTGAGATTTGATAGCGTTTCGGGGTCGATACTCAATATCGTACCCGCCGATTTCTATAATAATGTAGTATTATAAAGAGGTCTAACTCTATTTAATCCATAATAACTCATTAAAAATCTCAAAATGATTAGTGTTAAAGTCCATTAGATAGTGGGTCGGGCTATTAAGGAACGCTGGGCCTGGGCCTTCGAAAAAAACCAAGTTTTCTTCTTATCTAGACATTTGAACATGACACAAAGACAGAGCATGTCTTCTTCATAGGAGTTTCCTCTCTCTCTCTCTCTCTCTACCTCTTTAACATAGAAATAAAAATTATATTAGCAATTGAAGATGATGTTATCAGCAGCTACACTGCCCACCGTGAATTGGGTTCCTGCATTTTTTTCTCAGAAACACTTTTCACCTAAAATTGTCTCCTTTGCAAAGCAGCAGCAGTCTCTTTCTCGACCGTTCAATGTCTCAGCACTTAAACCCAGAAGAAATTTTGACGTCTTTGCTTCCTCAGCTGTAAGTTTTGCCGGAGAAACATCAACTCAAAATTCTGTTTCCTCAGCTCCTCTTCAGAAAGAGGTAATTTTGGTTCAGTTCTCTTTATTTTTTGGTTGAATTGTGTGAATTGAACCATCTCCTGAAATTTGTAAGCTTTTGTACCCAAAGGTGTATCCTAACAGTCAATAAAAATTAGAATGAAGTCCATGAAAACATGTAAGAATCTAGTAGAGGCAAAAAAAAAAAAAAAAGTTAATGGAACTTTTTTTATTTAGTTATGGCTGCAAGACTTCTCCATGGGTCTGTGCGCTAAGCCTGTACCTATTTACCCTTGTTATGAATGATCTAAATATAGGATAGGTACGATGGTGCATGCTCTTTGCAAACGATATTGTATTAATTGATGAAACTATGAGGGTGTCAATCACAAGCTCAAGCTATGGAGAAGCACTTTAGAGAGTAAGGAACTTAGGGTAAGTAGGGATAAGGCATAACACATACATTGCAAGTTAACCAACGAGATAGGAATGAAGTTGAGTTAAGATTAGATTGAATTGAGGTACCTAAATATAGATAGTTTAGATATATAGGCTCAATGTTTCAAGAGAATGGAATAGTAAATGGAGAGGTTACGGATAGCATTAAGTAGGATGTTTGAAATGGAGGAGTGCGATAGGAGTATTATGCGATAGGTACCAAAATGAAAGGCAAGCTCTATAGAACTATAAGGCCAACAATGCTGTATGAGAGTGATTGTTGGGCCGCTTAATTAAGCCCAGCATATCCACAAGATGAACATCGCGGAGATAAGGATGTTACCGAAGGCCAAGGAGCGTATATAGAGGATAAATGAGAGAATGTCACTTGAGATGGTTTGGCTATGTATTACGTAGGCCCCTAGATGCACCGGTTCTTAGATGTGAAACATGGTGATTAAAGGTGTTAAAAGAGGAAGCAACAACACTAAAATTACATGGAAAGAAGTTATTTCAAAAGATCTAGTATATACAGGAATCCAGCCAGATCTAGCAAACAATAGAAAACAATGGATATCAAATACAAAACTAGTGCTTATCAGAAAACTCGTACTCCCTCCGTTTCAAAATGAATGGACCTATTACTATTTGGGAAGTCAAATAAGATTTTCCTTTACCATACTTTTGCAAATAGTTTCTAAAAAAATTGAGAATTGTTAACAATTGTGACATATAGTATTTTTTATGTAGTCTCTAAATATGTACATTTTATTTCAAAAAACTTAAAGAATATATGTCCGAATTCACACCAAAATCAGTCAAATTGACCCTCGTACTCCAAAAAGGTTCAAAGAAATTGAAACAGAGGGAGAGGGAGTAGTATATTAGAGATATAACCACTAGAGTATATTAGAGAACCCCTAGTATTAGATAAACCTTAAGTACGGAGTATTGAAAAACTATGGACCAAACAAAACATTTATGGTATTGAGAATTGATACAGCCACTGCCTACTAGCTTGGTATTGAGGCCTATTTATTGTTATCCTTTTCTTGGCCTACATCTGTTTGCTTAATACCATGCTGGCCGAATGTCTCCTTATAAAGAAAAAGGTTTAAGTTGTTAGAGAAAGGAATTTTTTGATTTATTTAGTCATGTAATATCTTTATTGTGGTGTTTGACTTTTATTTATTTAGTTATATTTGCTACGTTTTCATTCTGGTGTTTGGCTCTTATTATCTACCGAATGTACAGAAGCTTGGAGTGGTAGTTAAGCCGCTGGAGAAACCTAGGCTAGTGTTGAAGTTTATTTGGATGGAGAAGAACATTGGAATTGCACTGGACCAAGTAATTCCTGGTCATGGTACGATTCCGTTGAGCCCCTATTATTTTTGGCCTAGAAAAGATGCTTGGGAGGAGCTTAAAATCATGCTGGAGAGCAAACCTTGGATATCACAGAAGCAGATAATTATTCTTCTTAATCAGGCTACCGATATCATCAATTTGTGGCAACAGAGTGGTGGTGATTTAGCCTAAGCCTTCATAGAACAAGATCTACGTATTGTGCTGCCACTGTATGTCATCATTTTGTTTGCTAACATGCTTATTATGTGGCACATGTTGTTGTAACTTGTTTCACTCAAAAGGTCAGTCAAACTTATTCAATTTGCTTGCTTTAATTTTCCTCTATTTCTTTTTAGTTTTTGAATGATATTGTAAATAATATATCATATGATGCTAGCCTTGGTTCTGCTTCATGAACATTAACATCTAACAAAAACGAAATAAAGTTGTACTGATGATGGGAATTTGGCTGTAATTCGAATTAACATATGGCATGAGATAAATGTAGATAAGAGTACCTGTTGGCCTCTCATAATTGGACTGAAAATAAAAATCTCGAGGTGCATTTATTTTCCAATGAAATCAACATTTTATAGGCTAACAAAATTGCAAGCTGTTAGACACGTAACTGTATACACTGCTTACTGCGAATATGTTTGTCTAGATTTTCTGAAACAATTAACTGCAGAAATTTTGTCTGTTCATCTCCGTATGGTTTGATGAAAAAAATGTAGTTTTCTTTTTGGAACGTTTATGCAATCAAAGTTTTCCTGCCAAAGTAATTTCTACTTTTGGTCATGGCTCCTAGTGAAAAGTTTATACTCATGCAAATGTTTGTTGAAGGAAAACAACGCAATGGATAAGCATAAATACACAAAAGGAGCTAAAATTTTCAATCATATAGCCGTGATACTCTTGTGAAACAACATTGAGAAATGGCTTTCCACTGAAAATTCACCTTTGGTGGACAAGGACTGTGAGTACTTCATTGTTTCTTCTTGGTCTTTTCTGGGTGGGGTGGGGGTGGGGGAGGGGGGTTTGGTTATGAGGTCTACTGGTTCCAAAGTCCTCATTTGAAATTTATTATGATCCTTTTCCTGCAAAACGTATTGTGTTTGTCGGGCGTGCGGAGTTCTCTTGAGTCCTCATTGTCTTTGTTATTGGATCTGATTTGTGAAGATCTGGTTGCATATCTTCTTTTATACCAAACATTGTTTTGGAATTCCACAATGTTCCAGTTGAAAGAATATCATTTTGTCCATTAAATTAACTGGAAGGAAAGAGAAGTAATTATTAGCTCCTGACTTTTTTTTTATTTGGTGATTAATCTTATATATAGAAAACTCCCATGTACAAATGTATAAAAAGAATGTTCATGCAACAGCTCTGACTTATCAAACAAAAAGAGGAAATATAACATTGATGAAATTTCTCTAGTGCTTATTTCGGAAAGTGTCAATCTCCTGAACTTTATATTGCGTTCTCGATGCCTTTGTATACTGATCTATATTCACTTGCACATATTCTGTTTGCTGAAATAATTTGCAGAA